ATTTACTCGGTCAAAAGCCTTACTGAGATCACAAAAAATTCCACCAGCTATATATTTGTTGTTTAAAGCCCTATAAATATTCTCCATTAGATTATAAGTAGCTAATGTAGTTGAAGAGTTTTTTCTAAAGCCGAATTGCTCCTGTGTTAGCAGGTTATGTGTATTTAAGTGTAAAAACATTATTTTATATATAACTTTTTCAAAAATTTTTGAAAAGATTGGGAGTAAAGATATAGGTCTATAATTAGACATGTCGGTTTTATCCCCTTTTTTATGTATAGGTATTATTTCAGAATATTTTAAACGAGCAGGGAATATTCCTGTAGACAATGACTTATTATATATGTAAGTTAATGATGATGATATATATGGTGCACTTGCTTTTATTAATTTGGTAGTAATTCCATCATATCCACAAGCTGCTTTAAGTTTTATAGATCTTATTATCTCCTCTATTTCATTGTTATTAGTTGCTTTTAATACCAATTTCTGAGGTGGTTTTGGAAATGAAGTGTATAAATAATCCATGAACTTCTTATCTGTTTCTAAAGTATTATTTGTCCATTTCTTCGTAGAATTGTTTACATCTAAAAAAAAAGTTATTAAACGATCTTACTATATTTTTGTAGTTCTGAGTGATATTACCCTTTATATTTAAACAAGTCACATCAGTACAAGCTTCGCTATTTCCAGTCATGTTTTTTATAATTGTTCAGGTTGTTCTTGTTTTATTATTATTTCCCTTAGCTGAACAGATACTCTCTTTGGGTACCTGAGTTGTCATATTACATATTCATGATATTCGTCTTGAAGATACCGTTAGTCAAAACGGTCAAAACATTTGAAGGATTTCAACAAGTGATACAACTCAAAACCAAAACATGATTTTATGCATGTATGATCTGAGGTTCTCACACCGTCGGCTATGTAGGCTGATGAAAGTCGACCACTGTTTGGAGAAATATATTATCATCAGCTTAAGGATTGAAAAATAAACAGTTATACGTCCTTGCCGCCTGTTTCCCCACTGGTTTCTTGTGGCTACCACAGATGAGCGCGATTGTGTAACCCGTGTAACCTATGGTAATCCGTGCCCAGTGTCTATGACGCCTGTAACCGCCAGTAACTGCCGATGACCACCTATGACCAAGTGGATGAAGTGAATGCGTTAGATCGGTCTGTTGCGGTCTGTTGTGCGTCAGTTGCGTGCGGTATGTAGTGGTGTTCGTGGTGCGGTATGTGTTGATACGAAACTAAAACAGGAAATTAAAGGGCTGCGCGTGTAACGCGTTGGTCGTCGAGTGATTGGTAGAATGGTGTTCGGATTTTTAAGGAGAATAAAGTCTTGGATTGTGTGGTCGTGGACGTATTTATGGGCATTCTGGTTTCTCTTGGTGCTGTTCGTGATATACTATCTTCGTGGACCCCTTAAAATAAGCGAAAATATTGGAATTGGTAATGGTTGCACCTTTCTTTGGCAGAGGGAGCAAGTGTTTAAACTAGCGACAGATTGTCAAATAAATTAGAGGTCAGAATATTATTATGCTCCTACAGATGTTAGTAGGACTTATTGTCGATACTTTTCTTGCTTATGCCAAACATGGGTATCTTATAGTTTAGTTTTTTATAAAGTCGTTAGATTTATACTTTTAATGGTGTTTAGTTCAGTTTTGTTATTTTGTCACATCAGGGAAGGTTCTTACATGTTTTATTTTCTGGTTAACGAAGTAACGTTTCATGGCAAATAATATCGGTGTTAAAGAGTGGTCAGATAAATATGCCATAATTATGTGCCAGAAATATTCATATGGTTAAACTTGCATGAACAAGGTAACGAATGACAGAATGGCATGAATTCAGGGCTTATCACAGGAGTATAATGTGTTGTTTCAGTAGTGTTTACAGTTAATTTTTATTATCAAGTTGTTTCCAATTCTTAAAAATGTGGCCTTATTTTTGTTTCATTTTGGCGGGGGGGATTGCTTTGTAGCTGAATGTGCCTAGAATTTGCATCCATTGTCATTCAGAATCAATTTTGTGCTTTAATGTGAATATGCATCATTTAACATTTTGTACTATGCTGTATTTACTTTTAGAGACGCTTCTCTATGAAGTTAACAGCGGCCTTTTATATTGAAAACATGTTATTGAGCTGTTTGGTTTATTTGTTTTTCTCTGGATATTGGACCAGTTTTTAGGTAGTAGTTTCAGTGTAATTAAGCTCCTTACAAGTTACAGTCTGAAGGACTGTAAATCTGGTTTTCAATATATATCCCCCCATAGTATAATGTGTTTGTGTCTGTCATGACACTGTCATCCTTCAAGAATGGAAATATATCATTTACATGATAATAGGACATGTTATGACAAGATTAACCTTTAATGGGCATGAAGTGCATGCTATATGTGTGTACATGAGATCAAAATCCCTTATTTGAGGAAGGTTAGAGACAGCAGTTGTCCTTCATTCACATACACTTGATTAAAATGTCAAATTTCGCCTTCTAGTCTGTGGCATTGTGTCATATTTAGGATGGTTGAAGGTAGTGCACTGTCAATATTCTGTACAGACATAATTTCAGGGAGTGAGGGCATGTATGATGACCAGCTGAGTACACAGGAAATGTTTACAATGAAAATTATAAATACTAGTCAAGCAAGTTGCATATATAAATACATGAACACTAAACTAAAGCTATTGAACTGCAATGCTAATTTATATTTTAATAAGCAATGCTTGGCTGAAAACTTAACACCTAAATATGCACTAACAAAAACAAAAGTAAATCCACATAACAAAACTAGAGATCTAAAAGCCATAAAAAATTTCCAAGTAACAAGAATAAAAAATGAAATGAAATTTTGGTATACTAAAAAACAGCATCAAAATAAAATGTTATATAAACTGCATCTAGAAAATGCAGCTAATTGGAATAATCTATGGTATATAATATACCTTAATATTGAAGCTATGATTCAACAGAAAATGGAAACCAAATATGACACTCTAAATAACAAAATTAAGAAACTAAAACAAGGTAAAGAAATTAACACCATGAATAATAACACAGCACAACATACACTTTTTAAACATACGATTAATATGACTGACATTGTATTTACTGATGATGAATTGCACCTCCTAGACAAAGGGCTGCACAGGAAACCCCAAAATTTGATAAAATGTTAGCCCTTGAAGCTGACACTGCTATAAGAACTATACCTGAGAAAAACCAACCATATTTGAAACAGTTAGTAGCTAATAACTTACAAAAATTAATTAAGAAACAAAATCAAAAAAGGAATAAAATATACAATCAAAAAGAGGCATGTAGAAAGGAACACACCAAAGAACATCAAACAAAAATTAATTAATAGTCACGCAATAATAGCAAAAGCCGATGAAGGCAACACGCTAGTCATTCTAAAAAAAGACAATTATATCAATAAACTTGATAACTTCATTAGCAATAATAACTTTGCTGAGTTGTCACACGACGTTACCAACAAAGTACAACAAATTACAAGGAATTACATAAACAATTGTAAAAACATCATAAAACACAAAGATAAATCGAAACTTATAAACATGTATCCCCGCGCACCACACACACATACGGCACTATTAAATTACATAAGCAGGGACAACCCATATGACCAATAGTCAGTTGGACAAACTGCCTTGCATATAATCTAGCTAAACACTAGTACACTAGCACACTCATTACAACTCATTGAAATAAATAACAATACACAGATGTGTTCTTTGATATCGAAAATATGTATACCAATATCCCCACAAAGGGACTTTTCAATATTGTTGAAAATCTTATAGCTAAGAATCAAAACATTTCACATGAAACAAAATTGAAATTAATAACCTGCTAAAGATAATGTTAGAACAAAATTATATTAAACATAATGGCAAATGGTTTAAACAAAATGAAGGTCTTGCCATGAGAGCACCAACTTCAGCAATTATTGCCCAGGTATTTATACAATACCTCAAACATAAACTATCATTGATATTTTGACGAAATACCACATAATAGATTATTATAGATACATTGACGATATTTTAATCATTTATAATTCCCATATAACTAACACTGAAAATATGTTGTATGAATTCAACAATATTCTATTACCGTCCTCCTCGTCATCGTCGTTACCGCTCAGTGAGACTTCAAGCCTCTCGAGTTGGTCGTCACTTATACCTCTCCTTCACGTTCACCCCTTTGTGGTCTGCACTTTCATCCGCCGCTTCCTTGTAGCTGTCTGGTTCAGGGTAGGGTGTGGGATTGCTCTGAATTTGAATTTTTATGGGCGCCAGTGGACTTGGGTGAAATCCACGAGTTTGGAACGGGGAAAACAAAGGTGGGGATATGGATAGGCGGACATTTGGGGTTCCGACTGCTCAGATGGTAGGACGAGATTCTGTCTCAGGGTGACTTCTGGGCCTTGCTCACACAAGGAGAGAGAGAACACTGAAAACACACACTTCACCAACACTGTTGCTTTTATTGTAGATGTTCACTACAATTACCCATTACCCGGCTGTAACACTTTGAATTTGTAGACTGGACTCGGGCCAACACCGATTTAACGTCCGGGAGGTTACTCCTGTTACTCCCTTTTGGCTACTCACTCCTGTTACTCACTTTTGTTGACTGACTGCTCTGGAGAGGCAGAAGTCCCGACGGTTCTGGGAATGCCTGGATTCCTCTCCTCTGAAATTTTGCTGATTGGCTGAACCTAAAATTTGGGTGTTTCTCTCATTTGCATTCAGCCAATCCCTAACCAGATCCATGTTAATTTGGGCCTAAGTATAACATGGTCCTTCTGACAGCTCTCAAATAAATGGAGGTATGCTAACGATCGCTCGGTACGCCCCTCTGAAAATTATTGTGACTCGTATCTGTCAAGTCTCAAATTTTCAAAGACTCGCACCATCGTAGTTAAGCATTAAAATTCCCAGTAAACACAGTGGGATACTTCCTGCTCCGTTCTGGGTTTCCAAGTGACCTGCAGCTTGCTTGTCCCTCAGAAAGACCAGATGTTGTCCTTGGCGTCTGCTGGTGCTGGGGTCAATTCTGTATCATCTATTGTTAACAGTAGTACAGTTCGTTTACATGTACTGCATTGTAATTAAAAATGTAAATCAACAACATTGCTGAGGTTCCTGCATGGTGCAGAAAAAGAAATAAATAATAAGATCAGTTTCTTAGATTTATCCATCGAAAAAACACGCGAAAACCCACAACTAGGAATCTATCGAAAACCTACAACTACTGAGCTAATCATCCACAATGATTCAGGTCACCCATTTGAACACAAAAAGCTGCTATAAACTTTCTCATTAATTGATTGAATCAATATCCCCTTTTGCATAACAACAAAAACACAGAAGAAAACATTGTTAGAACTATTCTAAATAATAATAACTACCCACTAAATAACATACAACTAACACAAAAACCCTCCAAAAAATACTATGCAGAAAAATAAATAACCACCTTTACCTATTTTGGCCATGAAATCAGATCTATTACTATACTTTTCAAGAATACTGAAGTTGGTATCTCATTCATTCATTCATCAGTAATATGTCAAGACGACAGGTCCACAGTCTCTTCCAAAACAGCTCCTCCACTTGATGCAAGCTAGAGCTTTCTCCTTCAAATGAAACTATCCTCTTCTGTCCCCAAGGTCATCCAGCATTTTATTACACCTTCTTCCTCGTCTTCTGGTCACTTCTATCCGCCCCTCTATCTTTCCTTCAATAACGTCTTTTAAAAGGCAGTTACCGAGTAAGATATGACCAATCCAATTAGCCTTCCGTTTTCTTATTTCATGTAGGATATTCCTCTGCTCACTGACTCTAAATAACACTTCTTCATTTCTCACATAATCAGTCCAACTGATCTTCTCCATCCTTCTCCAACACCACATTTCGAAGCTTTCCAGGTGTTTCTGATCTACTGCCCTAAGTGTCCAAGTTTCAGCCCCATACAAAGCAATGCTTCAAATGTTCCAAATGTAGCATCTCATATAAGACAAAAAAGAATATAAAACATCTGTTGAAAATAAATGATGACAAAAATGATATGTATAATCTTAGTGGGGTTTACCAACTACAATATTCTGGCTGTCCATTAAAATATATAGGACAGACCAGACATATCTTTAAGGTCAGATTCAAAGAACACATATGAGACATAAAAAATAACGGACAAAGCTCCAGATTTGCTCAACATACGAGGGGGGGACCCAAAAATAACCGGAACCGACCTGTTGCGTGCGCATGCTTTGTAGTTACGAGTTGTGCTGCTAGGTGGTGTTAGCTGGGGGTCTCCCGCGACTGTTAGTGAGCTGGCGTCAGTCTGAGTTAAGTGGTTTGTCTGTGGTGCTCTGTTGTGTGCGTTCCTGTTTCAACCCTTTGGCGATTAGTGAGA